GGAGAGAACATGCAAACTCTACCCAGAAAGGTCCCCGGACCGGGATTTGAACCGGTGACCTTCTTGCTGAGAGGCATCAGCGCTACCAACTGAGCCGCCCATTCTGTTTAACAGTAAATATACATTTTAAACAGATGGTAATACAAGTTTTGTTTGTCCGTTAACAAAATATTTCATTAACCATGGGACAGATTTTAATGAAACTCTCAGAGTAATCAGAGGGTGTTCATCTACAACTGATTCACTTCTCAAGTTGAGCCGATTTAAGATGGCTGCCACAGCCAAGCTAACTTAATAAACAGAATCAATGGCTGATTGTGTCATTTCTCATCATAAGATCAGTCTAAGCTCTGACATGAACAAAGGCTTTTTATTTCTATTCTATTGATGTAATTTTTTTCCCCTCATGTGTCTCATTTTCTCAGACTGGTTTATTTCCGAAGAAAAGTGTCAAGTTGTTGAAGCTCAGGAAGGAAAGTGTTTTGTTTTGGCTTCAAGGACCTTGTTTCATTTCTCTTTTACTTCCTTTGGTTCAGATGTGAGCTGAAGCAGTTGAAGAACAAAACTTTTTTTTTTAATTTTGCTGCCTGCCTGCAAGGAGAACGTCTTTGTCCTCCCTCTGAGGTCACCCGTACCGCACACCGACAGAGAATACAGCCTGTAACACGTGCAGTTTTAGTCTTCAGTTTTGTGTTCTTGCACATTTATGCCACTGAAAGTTTTTAGTAGTAGTATGGATGAATTTTAATGAAACTCTGGGATTAATTATTAGATGTACCTATACAACTGATTACCTTTTGGAGTCAAACTGATTTAATGTAGCCACTACAGCTAATTGCATTTAGAAAACACAAAAGTGGCAACAACTCTGTCAGTTTTACAGTTATTTAACTAGAAATGGGTGATAAGAGTTATGCTAAGCAAACTAACTATTTAAATGATTCACATTTCAATTAAGTTATTCAATTTTAACATAGTCTTAATAATATGAGCTTCTGGTTTACATATTACTTTTGTTTATTATCACTTGTGAAGAGATGAGCAGAGGAAGAAAAAACAAAACAGTGGCGAGTAATCAATGTCATGGTTTGGATTCCAGTAAGTGTGTGTGTTTATTGCAGAGGACGGTGTATTTGCAGAGTGGGACGTTAGAAACAGCTGAGGAAAACTGGATTCTGTGTCACTGATTAACAGATGGATTAGTCTGCAGAAACTCAAGTGTGTGGAGTCTTCTGCCACCATATCTGGAGTGAATCAGTCTATAATGCAGGGTCACAACCGCGTAGGTTTAACATCAGCATCGTGGTCACAGAGAAGTCTAAAACCAGCTGTTTTACCATCAAGTCTTACAGACTTCAAGTCTTTCATGGGGGTCCTGGGATCACAAAGAACAAACGTCTAATCTCTCAAAAAAAAACCCAGATGTGAGCCTTTCTTCCTGTCCAGCTGTGGAAAGTCATTCATCAAATGCATGCAGCGGCGCTCTGATCCGTCAAGCCGAAGCTCGGCTTATGAGGATTGGCCATACAGAGCTTAACCCCCAACACAAACCCCACCAGCACATGACCTCTGTCCGTTAGAGATGTGATGCTGATCAATATCCAGCGCTGACAGCAGACACTCGTCCGTCAGACACGTGTCTCATAGCAGCATTAAAAAATCGGATTGCTCTGAAACAAATGTTTCTCACGCTGGTAAAACCAAACCAGTGAGCTGTAGTAAGTTGCTTGGCAATTGTTGCTAGGTTACCACTGATCTCCAACAAATCTGTATAATGTAAGTCAAAAGCTCACATTCTAGTTAATCTGACATTTCATTAAATCATATTTGTTGAAATCCTGGTAGGTTCACAATTAGTATTTTATGTAAATGTATCTCCCTTTAGGATTACCTAATCCACATCTGTCAAACTCAAGGTCTGCGGGTCAAATGTGGCCTGCCACAGCATTTTATGTGGACCCGCAAGAATGGTCTTAAAATAAGCATATATTAAAGCCAGCATTGACCATAAACTACATCTCCCATAATGCATGTCAATTTTACATGCAATATGACATCATCCCATCACTAGGTAGAGGTTCACAGAGTTCCAGCAGCTGGCAAAATTCACCATGGAAAATCTTTACTTTGCTGCATTTTTGCCAGTTACTTTTACTGTGGCCCAGTTGTACTGGGAAGTGGGAATTTCACACTTAGAAGTCATTCATTTAAAATGGAATACACCACTAGCAGGAATTCCCTGTCAGAAAGGAGGAGAGTTCAGAGTTCAAGATTCACCATAACTCAGTGAGTTAAATTCACTTACTTTACTTTTATTAGTCCATCCATCCATCCATCCATCCATCCATCCATCCATCCATCCATTATCTGTGCCCGCTTATTCCTTTCAGGGAAGCGGGGGTCATTGGTGCCCATATCCAGTAGTCACAGTGCAAGGGGCAGGGTACACCCTGGATGAGTCGCAAATCGATCACATCATACTTTTTATAGTATTTCTGTTTATTTCTCAGTCAGTTGTACATGTAGTACTTTTCAAAGTTTATACCAGGACGTGTTAAAACTCTGTTTCTACGCAGGAAAGGCCACATAGAGCTCGGTTATTGTTTGTTAGTGGTGCTCAGCCATGTCAACCACATACAGTGGTTTGCAAAAGTATTCATACCCCTTGAACTTTTCCATATTTTGTCACATTACAACCACAAACATAAATATATTTCACTGGAATTTAATGTGAAAGACCAACACAAAGTGGTATACAATTGTGAAGTGGAAGCAAAATTTTACATGAATCAAAACATTTTTTACAAATAAAAAACTGAAAAGTGCGACGTGCAAAAGTATTCAGCCCCCTTTTCCCTGAGTGCAACCAATTGCATTCAGAAGTTGCCTGATGACTGCTAATGACTCAAAAGGGTCCACCTGTGTGTAATCTAATCTCAGTACAAATACAGCTGCTCCGTGACGGCCTCAGATGTTGGTTAAGAGAATATTGGGGAGCAAACAGCATCATGAAGTCCAAAGAACACACCAGACAGGTTAGGAATATGGTTTTGGAGAAGTTTAAAGCAGGCTTAGGTTATAAAAAGATTTCCCAAGCTTTGAACATCTCACGGAGCACTGTTCAATCCATCATCCGGAAATGGAAAGAGTATGGCACCACAGTAAACCTGCCAAGACAAGGCCGTCCACCTAAACTTACAGGCCGAACAAGGAGATCACTGATCAGAGAGGCTGCCAAGAGGCCCATGGTGACTCTGGATGAAATGCAGAGAGCCACAGCTCAGGTGGGGGAAACTGTCCACAGGACAACAATTAGTCGTGCACTACACAAATGTGGTCTTTATGGAAGAGTGGCAAGGAGAAAGCCATTGTTAAAAGAAAACCATAAGAAGTCCCGTTTGCAGTTTGCCAGAAGCCATGTTGAGGACACAGCAAACATGTGGAAGAAGGTGCTTTGGTCAGACGAGACCAAAATTGAACTTTTTGGCCACAATGCAAAACGCTATGTGTGGCGGAGAAAGAACACTGCACATCACTCTGAAAACACCATCCCCACTGTCAAATATGGTGGTGGAAGCATCATGCTCTGGGGGTGCTTCTCTTCAGCAGGGACCGGGAAGTTGGTCAAAGTTGATGGGAAGATGGATGGAGCCAAATACAGGGCAATCTTGGAAGAAAACCTGTTGGAGTCAGCAAAAGATTTGAGACTGGGGCGGAGGTTCACCTTCCAGCAGGACAACGACCCTAAACATAAAGCCAAAGCTACAATGGAGTGGTTTAAAAAAAAGAATATTCATGTGTTAGAATGGCCCAGTCAAAGTCCAGACCTAAACCCAATTGAGAATTTGTGGCAAGATCTCAAAACTGCTGTTCACAAACGCTCTCCATCCAATCTGACTGAGCTTGAGCTGTTTTGCAAGGAGGAATGGGCAAGAATTGCAGTCACTAGATGTGCAAAGCTGGTGGAGACATACCCTAAAAGACTTGCAGCTGTAATTGCAGCAAAAGGTGGCTCCACAAAGTATTGACTCAGGGGGGCTGAATAATTTTGCACATCGCACTTTTCAGTTTTTTATTTGTAAAAAATGTTTTGATTCATGTAAAATTTTGCTTCCACTTCACAATTGTATACCACTTTGTGTTGGTCTTTCACATTAAATTCCAGTGAAATATATTTATGTTTGTGGTTGTAATGTGACAAAATATGGAAAAGTTCAAGGGGTATGAATACTTTTGCAAACCACTGTAAGCAGCATTATGTTTTCTGTTTAATAGAAGTGAAACATGAAATATCACGTTCCACCTATCATCCTTGAGTGATGTTTTAATACTGATTATAATAAAATGTTTAAACACATAATAGTCACATAAAAGAAACTTCATTTTATAATTTAAAATGTGTTTTGTGTACCAGAGTACTGTAAAATAAAAATTTAATACTTTAGAGGTACGCATGGAACAAGCTCATGGGCTAGATATGGCTCATGGACCACCAGTTGACTTGTATTACTTGAAGAAATAACGAGAAAAACAATGCTTCAAATAACAAAAACACAAATCCTGATTAATTTATTAACATTAAGCTTCCAGCTAATCATAAAGTTGAAAATATGCCACAAAGATCTTATATCTTTGAGTTTTAATTCATGAAACAGATGAGCTGAAGCTGAATTTGACTCAAAGAAACTGTAAGTTAATATGTAATGCAACAGGTAAGGTCAGGTTAACAGGTTAGCTGTTTAAATCCACACTGTAGCCACAAAGAAGCTGCAAATGTCACATCACCGCCACGCCACACAGCTAAATCTGTCAAACGCATAAAGAAAAATGTTTGACATCCCAGAGACCCATTTATTACACAACAAAGTTGTTTAACAATCCAGCACAGTTGTGATCATCGGATAAATGATAATTACACTGTTTGCATAAAGACTCCGTATTGTGCTGAAGCTCGGTCAACTTGACAGACTGGAGCGCAAATCATCCACAGATCCACGCAGCGACATGCTGTAACGCCCACGCAGCAGCTTTGTGTTGAAGGGCACGCACAGAACAGCGTTATTCAAAATAAACGAGAGAACAGATCGCAGCATGGCCCACATCTAAAGCCCCACAGTTTCACCCAAAGTTAAATGTGCAAAGGGTCATTGCGTAACAAAACTGTGACAGTAAGAAACAATTCAAGCTGTGAGCACTCTGACCCTCAGCTGCCTTCGTTCGTGAATGACATGTTAAAACAATGAACTAATTTCTTTAAGTGGGAACGTGTCTGCGTGCGCAAACCACAAATTCTTCTACTGTTAACCCAGGACTGGTATTGTTTATCCTATAAGAAAAAACTGCTACAATCCCACAAAAACCCCTCAAAAGGAAATGTTCTGTCACAACCAAAGAACTACTCAAAATTCAGTTTTACTCATTTAACTTGAGAATTTCATTTATTTATTTATTTTTACAGCTAATTATGTTAAATAAATAAAGAAAAGGGAACGAAATTAAAGACAGGTTGTAAGATTTTACTATACAACACAATATTGTTTCAAATAAAGCCTCTGTGTGCGTGTCCACAGACAGCCAGTGTGTTTATTGAGTTGTGTGAGAGATGGTGGTCTGGAAAGCGAAGGTGATGTGGCTTCGAGCGTGATCGAGGTAGGGGTCTGAGAAGGTGTGTGTGTCACCGGAGAAGTGTCTCCACCGCATGAGCTCCGACATGCTCAGATGCTTCTGCGACGCCTCCTTGCGGTCACCTTGACGACCGAGCTGACAAGGTCTGTGAGAAACATGCTCCGCCTCTTCCACTGCTTCCTCTGAGGGAGAAGAGAGAGAGAGAGTGAGGGAAAGCACGCGACCAGACCCAATGCTGCGTTCAAGTTGCAGCAAAACTCGAAATTATGAAGTCGGGACTGACGTCAGCTCCGAGTTGAAAGAGTTTCTGTTTCCAGCTTGTCAGGACATCGGAAAAGTGCATTTCTATTTGTTACTCCGACAGAGGCATGCAACAACACTTATAACAGTGGTGATCTATGCAACATTTTGAGTGTTAAAAACAGTTAAAACATTTTCCCTAATAATCGATAGAAAGTATTGAAAGTATGACTAATAATATTAACAACACAGAAAAACTAAAAGTAGAGTTTCATTCTCTGTTGATGTGAGGAGCAGCCATGTTGAAATGATGACATCACAGTTACTCGGGCTGCTCGGGTATGGTCATGTTGCACCGACTTCCCAACTCGAAATTACGATAGGGGTCATTCCAGTTCACATTTATGACTCGGAAGCCAGAGTTTCCGACCTGAGTCTGAGGACAACTGAGACACAGCATAATGGGTTGGACATTTCCACGAGCTTACCGCTGACAGAACCGTCGGCGCTGCAGTCGCAGTTCAGCAGGTCATGAGTCAAACAAGGCGTGTCCGTCAGGCTGAAGAGGTCTTGGAGTTCATTTGTGGAGAAACTTGTGTGCTCTGCTCCTTTCCCCAAGTCAACAACGGTGCCTGACAGCCCCTGTTTGGACACCTGCCTCTGAAATATCCGCTCCTCCAGGGTACCTGAGTGGAAGTGATTCAGATCCACATATGAAACTACAAATCTGTGGCGTGTTTAATTTTCTGACTGATTACGTTTGTCATTTTTAGTGGTGTCCCAATACCGGTATCAGTATTGGACCAGATATCAGCATTTTTAAAAGTACTCATATTCTTTCAAAATGCCCTGATAACCACAACTGATACTATATATATA